CGCTAAGCTAAAGGAGGCTAATGTTGGGCTATAAAGGAACTACAGCACGGTCGAATGACTTCACGTCACCACCGCTAAGCTAAAGGTGGCTAATGTTGGGCTATAAAGGAACTACAGCACGGTCACATGACTTCACGTCACCACCGCTAAGCTAAAGGTGGCTAATGTTGGGCTATAAAGGAACTTCAGCACGGTCACATGACTTCATGTCACCACCGCTAAGCTAAAGGTGGCTAACGTTGGGCTATAAAGGAACTACAGCACGGTCACATGACTTCACGTCACCACCGCTAAGCTAAAGGTGGCTAATGTTGGGCTATAAAGGAACTACAGCACGGTCACATGACTTCACGTCACCACCGCTAAGCTAAAGGTGGCTAATGTTGGCCGTGAAGACGTTTAGTCGTCTCATTTAGACCGTTTCTTTAGCGCTATCTTCTGGTAAATTATAAAACCGTGTTACCTTCACACTTGAGGCCCTGCCTGACGAGTCCCCACAGCATTTCTCCACAGTCGTCACAGAAAGCCGGAGCTTTGTAGGAGTGAACGTAGAGAGCGTGAGGTCGGATCTGGAAATCCTCCGCTGTAGCAAGAGCTGAAATAATAAAAACACAATACAGTCAAACAACAACAACAACAACAACAACAACAACAACAGACAACATGGGACGTTTCCCATCCTGAAACTGGTTTGGATCTTCTGTAAAAATCCTTGATTGCTCGTCAGTAAAGCTTCTGTTATTGTGAAATGAGTTCTGCTTTGGTTAAACACAAATCATAACAACCTCTACTGATAACATTCATTTGAAAAGAGCCGTGTTTAGAGGAAATCATGATCTTAATCTTTTGGTAAAACTCAGTTAAAGTTCCTTTTTGAGGGCATTTAAGAGCATTTTTAAGCAAATGTTTTGTTTTGTGACGTTAATATTAAATGCATTTTGTAAATAAGGTTGTTTTAAAGATGTCACCAATTATATTGAAGTTTTGGATCAGAAGTAAAAAAAATGTATAAAGATATTTTCCTTTTTTTTAAATCCTGTTTTAAGACATTTTCACATAAATTAAAGAATTGTTTTCCCTTGAACGGTAACTCCTAACGTCCATCACATGGCGTAGATGTTTCAGACGGTTACAGAGTAATGGCGCCACAGCCTCATCAAGATAAACGTATTGACCCTCAAACGAGATGACCTCATGATAACGTGCGTCCTGTTTGAGCCTGTTTGACAAGATAATGATCAATTAACTTAATTAACTTAAAAACTGTGAGTCTCTGAAGTTTCCCCCTCATTCAACTTGTTCTGCAAACTCTATAATCAGATACATTGATACAAAGAATGCATTAGCTGCATTACATAAAAACATACAAGATATATGAAGGTATTACATGATATAAAAACATGTCATTTAAGATAAAAACAAAAAGAAATAATTAAAAAAGATTAGAAGTTTTTATTTAAAAATGCATTTAAATGCTTTATTTGTCAGGCTGTCAGACTCAAAGACAAAAACATTCAATGCATGTTATATTCAGGTTAGCGTTGAACGATGCCTTCACTGTCCCGCTAACGTGGGAGAAAGAAACACTCTGATCTCTGCAGGTTTTTGCAGCAGCAGGAAGCGGTCGGGGTTTCATTTACAGTCTCTGGTTTGAGCCTTCACACATCTCAGGAAACAAAGAGCTTCATATTTATGGTATGTTTGGAGAAAGATCTGAGGAGAGCTAACCGCTAACACTTAGCACGAGGAGGAGGAGGAGGAGGAGGAGGAGGGGGAGGAGGAGGAAGCTGAGAAATAAACGGGGGCTTTAAATTGTTAATTAAAAATACAAAAAAGTCAATACAAGCTCCTCAATGTTAAGGCTATTACATTTTTAGGTATAAGTTATTTTAACTTAGTTTTGAAGGAGCTATATTTATAAATATGACTATAATTTGTATTATTATTATTTTTTCTCTTTTACATGTTAATCGTCCTATAGCTTAAGGAAAGTCAAAAGTAAGACTTTATGCTGAGTTAGACAATGCGGTGAAACTTTGCAATAACAAACAGTGCGAGGGACACAAAGGC